ATTCAAAATCTAATAGTATTGAGAACCTGAAGTTCCAACAATTAAATGGACAATCCTTAAGGTATTATTGGAAATCGTGGTGCCCATTTATATGGCTTGGGTCCAAGAAGCCATCCATCCACGAATGGCAAAAATGCATCCCGGAATAAGGGAAAGGCACAGACAAGCCATATGCCTAGAAATGTTGAAAGCGCTTGTCACAAATGTGGTGCAAAGGGACATTGGGCACGTACATGCCATACGCCGAAGCATTTGGTGGATCTCTATCAAGCTTCACTTAAGAACAGGAAAGTGGAGACAAATTACATTGATCAAGCTATACTAGATCCGCCAGCCACAGATGGCCCATCGGAAATATCGCGTCAGTTAGACAAGATGCATCTGGATGTTTTCGATTTTGTTACTGAAAGAGAGAATGAAGTTTATGGGTCTGAATTATATTAAATTCCTTAATGTACCATTTGTATTATCTGAAGCACTGTTTTTAATTTTCATTTCAATCCAATAAAAGTGGCAATGTTTTTCTTTATATTGAATAATTGTTTATTAATCCAACTTATTTTATTTATTTGAAGGCATGGATATAAATTATGGATGCTCCCAAAATCAAAGCTCTAGCAAAGATATTTGTCTCGCAGACAGTGCGACTACTCATACGATCCTTCGAGATCAAAAGTATTTCTAAAATTTGATGCTTACAAAAGCAAAGGTAACAATCATATCATGTCTTGCAGATCTTATTGAAGGCTCAGGAACAGTCCAAGTTATGTTACCAAATGGAACAATACTATCCATTCAAGATGTTTTATATCCATGAATAGCCCAAATTATCTTACCAAATGGAACAATATTGTCCATTCAAGATGCCTTGTATTCATCTAACTCCAGAACGAATCTGTTGAGTTTCAAAGATATACATTTGAATGGCTACCATGTGGAAACAAAAAGTGAGGAAAACATGGAATATCTTTGCATTACCTCCAGTGATACCCAGAAGCGTATACTGGAGAAGCTTTGTGCGATCTCATTAGGGTTGTACTATACAACCATACGAACAATTGAGGCACATAGTGTCGTGGACTACAAATTCATTGACTCAAATACTTTTAAGCTTTGGCATGACCGATTGCGTCATCCTGGATCCACCATGATGTGTAGGATCATCACCAACTCTAAAGGACATCCCTTGTTAACAAAACACATTATGTTATCAAGTGATAGCTCTTGCTAAGCTTGTTCACAAGGGAAGTTGGTGATCAGGCCATCACAACCAAAGGTTGATGTTGAATCCCCATCAATTTTACAAAGAATCCAAGGGGACATTTGTTGGCCTATTCATCCTCCCTATGGACCATTTCGGTATTTTATGGTCTTGGTGGATGCATCTGCCCGATGGTCAAATGTTTGCCTGTTGTCCACTCGGAATATGGCATTTGCTAGGCTCTTGGCTCAGATAATTAAATTACGAGCCCAAGTCCCAAATTATCCCATTAAGTCAATCAGACTCGATAATGCTGGTGAATTTACATCTCAGACTTTTGATGACTATTGCATGTCATTAGGCATTGACATTGAACATCTTGTTCCTCATGTTCATACTCAAAATGACTTGGCAGAAGCTTTAATTAAGCGTCTTCAATTGATAACTCGCACTTTGCTAATGAAGACAAAGTTGCCAGTTTCTGCTTGGGGATATGCCATCTTATATGCAGCATCACTTGTGCGGTTGAGGCCCGTTGCCAACAATCAATATTCTCTAGTACAACTTGTGTTGGGTAATCAACCAAACATTACACATTTAAGAGTTTTTGGTTGTGCGATATATGTGTCTATTGCACCACCGCAACGTACTAAGATGGGCCCTCAACGCAGATTGGGAATTTATGTTGGTTTTGATTCACCATCTATCATCAGATATCTGGAGCCCCTGACGGGTGATATCTTTACCGCACAGTTTGCAGATTGTCATTTTGATGACACAATTTTCCTACTATTAGGGGGAGAAAAATTTGTTCCTAAAGAATAACAAGGCAAACTCGTTCCTGAAGAACGACGTGAATTATCGTGGGATGTACCCACTTTGTCTCATCTCGATCCTCGTACCGCTCAATGCGAAAATGAAGTGAGAAGGATCATTCACCTCCAAAGTATTGCAAATCAAATGCCAAATGCATTTAATGATGCAACAAAGGTGATGAAATCACATATCCCAGCTGCAAATACATCTGCAAGGATTGATGTTCATAATGGACAAAGCAATGTGCCAGCAAATGGCTCATCTGTTGCACGCTTGAAGCGTGGCAGACCACTAGGCTCAAAGGACTCAGTTTCTCGAAAGAGGAAGTTGATGGCCAAAATGAATCCAAATGAAACAAATGGAGAGCCCACAATTCATAATTCAAATGCCCCCCCAAGAGGGACAGGTACTTCCTGAAAAGGAAAATGTCCTTGGTGAGACAAGTGGTGGTAGCTGTACCTGAAAGTATAGAAATTTCCTTAAATTATACATCCACGAATGAATTGTGGAATAGAAACAAGATGATCATCGATGATATATTTGCATTCTCAGTGGCTATTGAGATCATAAAAGATGATGATATTGAGTTGTGCTCTATTGATGAATGCACATAGAGGCAAGATTGGCCTAAGTGGAAAGATGCCATGCAGGCAAAATTAAATGCTTTGGAAAAAAAAGGAGTGTTTTTGGACCTATTATTCCAACTCCACCTAATGTGAACCATGTAGGTTACAAGTGGGTATTTACAAGAAAGCGCAATGAGAAAAATGAGATTGCGAGGTATAAAACGCGACTTGTTGCGCAAGGTTTTTCACAAAGGCCTGGAATTGATTATGTGGAAACATACTCTCCAGTAATGGACGCAATTACGTTCCGTTACTTGATAAGCTTGGGGGTTTTAGAAAAACTTGAAATGAGACTTATGGATGTCATTACCGCATATCTGTATGGAGAGTTGGATACAGACATATACATGAAAGTCCCAGAAGGACTTAAGCTGCCTGAAGCAGCTAGGAATAAACCACGGGGCATGTTCTCAATTAAATTGAAAAGATCATTGTATGGGCTAAAACAATCTGGGCGAATGTGGTACAATTGTCTCAACAAGTATTTACTAAAGGAATGATACACAAATGATCCTATTTGCCCATGTGTGTTTATTAAGAAATCAGAGTCTGGATTTGCGATAGTAGCAGTATATGTCGACGACATGAATCTAATTGGAACTCTTGAAGAGCTCCAAAAGACTGCTGATTATCTCAAATGCGAGTTTGAGATGAAAGACCTTGGAAAGACAAAATATTGTCTTGGCTTACAGATTGAGCACAGTGCTAATGGAATTTTGGTGCATCAATCAACTTATACTGAAAAAGTATTAAAACGGTTTGGCATGGATAAAGCCCATCCACTTAGCACTCCAATGGTCGTTCGGTCGCTTGACACTAAGAAAGATCCGTATTGTCCAAAATGGGATGATGAAATGGTCCTTGGTCCAGAAGTACTATATCTTAGTGCAATAGGTGCTTTAATGTACTTAGCACAATGTACCAGACCTGACATAGCATTTTCAGTAAATTTGTTAGCAAGATACAGGTCTACTCCAATAACTCGACATTGGACCGGCATCAAACATATTCTACGATATCTTCGTGGAACAACAGACGTGGGCTTATTCTATTCCAGTGAATCGATCAATGCCCCGAGTATTGTTGGATATGCTGATGCAGGATATCTCTCTGATCCACATCAAGGACGCTCACAAACTGGGTATGTGTTTACATGTGGAGGAACTGCAATCTCATGGCGCTCAACAAAACAAACGTTGGTAGCCACATCTTCCAATCACTCAGAAATACTTGCCCTCCATGAAGCCAGTCAGGAATGTGTTTGGTCAAGGTCGGTGATCCATCACATCCAAAGCACATGTGCCCTACCCTCAGCAATGGACACTCCAACCATTCTGAATGAGGACAATGCAGCTTGTATTGCTTAGATCACATGAGAATACATCAAGGGTGACAGGACCAAGCACATATCACCAAAGTTTTTCTACACACATGAGCTTCAGAAGAGTCAAGAAATTAAAGTCAGACAAATCCGTTCAAGCGATAACTTGGCAGATCTCTTCACAAAATCTCTGCCAAAATGTACATTCCAAAAGCTAGTGCATGGTATCGGATTACGTCAACTCTGCAAGCAATCAAATTGGAGCATGCAAAATCAAGGAGAGCACTCAAGAGTCCTCTAACACATGACATAAACGCGTTGTACTCTTTTTCCTTCGACTAGAGTTTTTCCTACTGAGTTTTTCCTAGCAAGGTTTTAACGAGGCAACATGAGCGCATTACTCTTATGTCCCAAATAAAGTTGTACTCTTTTTCCTTTTCTTAGGTTTTCCCACTGGGTTTTTCCAAGCAAGGTTTTGAAGAGGCAACCAATCTAGGGGCATGTGGTCTCCAAGGGGGAGTGTTGTAAAGTAGAATGAGTGAAGCCCACATAGTCAAAAGGTGAATAGTGATGATTGGGTAGAAACATCATTATGTCTCTTCTTTTATTCATGGGTGCCATTTACCATGCCTATAAATAGGCAACCCTTCTACCTGCAAAGATGCATAAAAACGGAGAAGAGAAGAGAAAAAAGGGAAAGTGAGAGGAAAGAAGAGAGAGTGAGAAATCTAAGTGTCTATGAGTTCTATCTGAGAGGAAATTCTGTCAGTGTAAACACCACAAAGAGCAAATATAATTCCACTTCCAATATTCAGTGGTACTTCCCATACTCTGCTTATTTTATTTTATAACATTAATATAAATTTAGGTTTTTATGTAAAACAAGTTCCACATATTTATGATTGCTGATTAGGCCCCATTTGTCACCAAAAATGACTACACATTAAAACCGCTATCTTTAGGTTAAATCAAATCCATTATTTATTGAAGTAGGTGAATATGGATCCCCTCTCATTCTTACTTCCTATATATAAATGCCTCAACCAACAAGCCCATACTACCAAAACTGAAATGGCTGCAACCTCATCTTCCAGACTTTTCTTCTTAGCCCTCTCCCTCCTTGCTTGCTTTCCCTTCTGCAGCTGCCATTGTAGTGTAAGTAATAAAAATGCAGAGGGTGGGATGATGAAAGGGATGTTTGTGTTTGGAAGCTCCTTGGTTGACAATGGCAACAATAACTTCTTGCCAAACTCTCTGGCCAGAGCTGATTTCTTGCCCTATGGAATTGATTTTCCTCTTGGGCCTTCTGGAAGGTTCACAAATGGCAGAAATGTTATTGACCTTCTTGGTGGCCATCTTAAGCTACCTTCCTTAATCCCAGCTTTTGCTGACCCCAAAACTAGAGGAAGCAAGATTGTTCATGGTGTCAACTTTGCTTCTGGTGCTTCTGGTATACTAGATGATACTGGCTCCTTAGCGGTATGCCAATTTACTTCATCTTTATCTTTATCATCATCTTCTTCTTTTTATTATTATTATTATTATTATTTTTGGTTTCTACTTCTTCCTCTTGGACTACACATGTCACCATGAGTACATGATGACCATTATATATAAGATTAAAACATGTAATTGTTATCCATAAAATAGATAAACATAGTGCTTTAAGAAAACACTAAAACGAGAACTGCTTGCTTAAGTAGTTAAATGATTTCGAATTTGAGTGAAATACAACATAGACAGGGTTCCACAAAAATTATTTGAGGAGAAATAAACGCTCTTTAGCAGTAAACGGCCAAATTTTGCTATTAGTAACCCATAAACATTCTATATTAGCAAAAGGAAAATACAAAAACACAGAGATCTTCCTTAGAAATAAAAAAGTGACGTGACTAAGTCAATGACAATAATGATGATCTGTATTCCAGCTGTGAAGTTTAATTTGATTATTATTATTATTATTTAAAAAAAGCAGTATAACTATAATAAGCTAGCCATGCCTAAATTCAATTTGTTGAAACGGGGTTTGCAATTTTCAGGGCCACGTGATCAATCTGAACCAGCAAATTAGAAACTTTGAGGAGATAACGTTGCCAGAGTTAGAAACCCAACTAGGGTGCAGAAGCCCTCAGTCACTTCCCAACTACTTGTTTGTGGTGGGAACTGGTGGAAACGATTACTCATTCAACTACTTTCTGAGGAGCTCCAACCAAAATGTCAGTCTGGAAATTTTTACTGCCAATCTAACCGCCTCTTTGTCCAGACAACTAAAGGTGTGCATTTTCAACATCCCAAGTGATTTTTATAAAATTGCTGTATTTTTTTTTAAATAATTTTTTTCACACAAATTCAATTATGAAAGAATATTAAGTACATATAATTGAAATTAACAATATGAGAATATAACGTGTGCTAAATACGAGAAAGAATATGCATGTGGAATATAAGTAATTATAATGTAGCACTGTGTGGTATAACTCATCAACTATGCCGTCTACTTATATTATAACTCGAGTATATCATTTCGTGTATAAAATCCCGGTTCAGTAAGTAGTAAATGATTTGATCAGTAGATGGTGGTATTTATTATCATATGTCTGTTCCAATGCCGGGAACAACGGCTGAGTCAATAAGAGGCAAACAACACACACCACACAAATTAATATTTCAACGATTTGCTAAGGGTTTTGTATGAATATATAACCTGAACCTGTTGGATGAACATGATCGTTCCATGTAAGTAAATGTTAATGTTTTATGACTTTTCCTTTGATAGTAAAAAGAATTGTTCATTTAGAGCAAGTTCATCCCAAAAGGCTAAGGCAAGGTAAGGGCTGCCACTATTCACGTGAATAGTGGCAGCCTTGCCTTTTTTGGTTCCACCCCAAAAGGCTAGGGCAAGGACAAGAAAAAAAAATTACGCAACAAAATATAAATAATTTAGAAATGTAAGAAATAAAATGATTATGCAAGAAAAAAATAAATATGGAAGAAAATATAAAAAATTTACAAATGCAAGAAAAAAAAAAAGATTACAATTTACAAATATTTAAAGGTGAAGAATTTGTATGAGTATTTGGTGTGGAAAGTGAATAAAATTGTTATGTATTTATAGGAAAAACATCCATAATTTTTTTGTATTTTTAAAAAAAATTGAAATTTTTTTCAATTTTTTTCGCTTGCTAACGGCAGCGTGACATCAGTGCTGATGTCAGCGCCTTCAGGCTTGAGCCCATGCAGAAATTGCCTGTGGCTTTGCCCAGGTTGGTAGGACCCAGGGCTTACCCGGATTGCATGTGGCGCGCTGGAGGGTCTTTTGGGCTGGTAGGGGGCCTTTGGCCTGGGTTGGTGGCATGCGTTGGACTTACTCTTGTGATGTGGGTGCCATGCCACTGCTTTAGGTCATTACATTTGGACACGTATGAGGTACGGTTCATGGCCTGCCAAATGTACCGCTCAGATAGAGGTACAGTGTGAAACAATTAATAATTGTTGGTAGATATGTAGACATACATAAAATTCAGTAATAAATCCAACCCACTCCACACACATGTAATAAAGGTTAATTACAGGACAAAGTCTTTTATGCAAAATACACATAGAACATCAGAAGCAGGAATTGAATAAAATATTTGACCTACCTAACGTTCATGATCAGAAATCTAACATAATATATGCAAGATCATTTGGAAATAAAAGATTTGACCATATATTTGATAACTTAAATGCATGGCATGTCATTTTCTCTTTTAATGCATAGTATGTCATTTAATTAACTATTTAAAGAATAAAAGATGCCAATGGAGTATAGTCCAGTGGAAAAAAGGCCTTAATTTGCACCGTGTTAGTGTGTGTGTGAGAAACTCACCTTCTCCTGAAGTTTAGACTATTACTTGTATTAAAAAAGAATAAAATATTTTCTCTGTGTGTGGCTCAAGTCACTTAAGTTAAGTGCCAATCTTAATTTATTTATTTAAAATTTATGATGATACAGAAGTTGCACAGTTTGGGAGCTCGAAAATTTGTTGTGATGTCAGTAAATCCACTTGGGTGCAGTCCAGTGATGAGGATGAACAGACCAACACACAATGGCTGTGTACAAATTATGAACCGGGCAGCTCACCTTTTCAATTCTCACTTGAAGTCTTTGGTGGATGTGATTAGGGCAGAGATGCCTGGCTCTTCTCTTGTATTTGTCAACTCCTACAAGATCATCAGGGACATTATCAAAAACCCTATCTCCAAAGGTATATATGCAGATCTCTCTTGGCCCCTTCACATTAAACAATGGAGAAGAAGAGGATTCTTAATTATCTGTTTTAACAATATATCCCTGAATAATAGGGTGGTCCGGCCTTAACTTACATCGTGTTAGTGTGTGTGTGAGAAACTCACCTTCTCCTGAAGTTTAGATTATTACTTGTATTGAAAAAGAATAAAATATTTTCTGTGTGTGGCTCAAGTCACTTAAGTTAAGTGCCAATCTTAATTTATTTATTTAAAATTTATGATGATACAGAAGTTGCACAGTTTGGGAGCTCGAAAATTTGTTGTGATGTCAGTAAATCCACTTGGGTGCAGTCCAGTGATGAGGATGAACAGACCAACACACAATGGCTGTGTACAAATTATGAACCGGGCAACTGACCTTTTCAATTCTCAATTGAAGTCTTTGGTGGATGTGATTAGGCCAGAGATGCCTGGCTCTCCTCTTGTATTTTTCAACTCCTACAAGATCATCAGGGACATTATCAAAAACCCTATCTCCAAAGGTATATATGCAGATCTCTCTTGGCCCCTTCACATTAAACAATGGAGAAGAAGAGGATTCTTAATTATCTGTTTTAACAATATATCCCTGAATAATAGGGTGGTCCAAAATATAGTTTTGCATGCATATATAAAGTACATTTCACCAAACTAGCTGTAGATTATCTTTATGCTTGCCGTGGCATGCAAATTTCAAATTATATGATAAAAGTCGGGCCGACAAGGGTGGAGCGAGGATTTTATGCAATTAACACTAAAAGTTTAATTATATAATCTTATTAAGTAACCTATTACCTACAAGATCAAGAGTGTACATGGAAGATTTTTTTTTCTCCTCAGTAATATCTTACGATTTCACTTCTATATATTAATGTAAATTGGCAAACATTTATTGGTGATAGGGGTGCCATAAGCTGAATTAATTTTTCTTTAGATTTTGTATCGTAGGTTATAACATATCAAAACAGAGGAAATTGTTTTAGGGGGCTGGGGGTGGGGTGCTAAGACCCACTTATGGCCTAGGTATGGCTCCGCCACTAGGGACTAAGGCGGCTGCTTCTTTGGGCCTCATGATTGCAAATCTTCATTAATTAGCATGCATGATAAATTTATAGTGATGTTCTCTTACCAAACTTACGAGTTCTTTTCTATGCCTCAGCCTCAAGTAGAATAAGGACTTCAATATCTCTCTAGTACAAAAAGTAGAAACCAAAACAAGCTTGAACAAACAAAGAGCAAAAATAAACAGTAGATAAAGTGATGAAGATTTCTTGATTCAGGCAACTTGAACGCATATCGAACAAGAAGAATCACAGTTGAGACTGCTCGTCAACAGGAGATCATACCAGCAAAATGTGTGGCAGAGCAAGAAAAATAAAGAACTTTGTCATGAGTTATCACCTGGAAATCCCAAAGGAAAGCAATGTGTTTATCAAATCAGAATTGCAATATGTACTGATATTTTTGTTTTGGTTGAGAGTCCACTTTGTTTGATGATTGGACGTCGCTACACAAGAACCTGCCTATTAAATTTTGAGTGAGGAACAAATCGTGTGGAGCACGCCACACCTCTGAATCCCATACCACTTTCTCATGGACAAGTCAATCTAAGTCAACCTCGCCATGCTACCACTCGCTTTCTCTCCTTTGGTAAGCTCCCCAAAACCAATAAAAGTGGTCAGCAACGCACCCATTAATGTTTTCTCCAGACATGCTTCAGTGTGTGATAGTTAGATAAGGCTATACGAGTTTGAATGCTTCAAAATTTAGCTATGTTATACTAGCCATCATTGTAATAACTTTCATGAATAATTCAACTTCATCTAAACATTGCATCTAGATGAAAGAACATCTCCGCGCTCAGAGAACTAACGAAACTTGAGATTCTTAGTATGAAAAATATTCTTTTGAGGAAATACCAAAAGCAATAGGAAACTTGGCCAATCTGAGGTTGTTGGATTTGACTTCGAATACAAGTGTTAAGATAATTCCATCCAAAGTAATGTCTAGGTGGTCTAGGTGGTCTAGGTTAGACTAACTAGGCATGGAAAGTAGTTGTAGAGACTAGGGGAGTAGAGTTGAAGGATCATGAGAAAGAATTAATGCTGGTTTTGATGAGTTAACTTGCTTGTCGTACTTCAACATTTTGATAGTTCAAATTTTTTTATGCACAATGCATTCCTAAAGATGTTTGGCTTCATCCAAATTGGGAAAAATTCTGCATATTTATCAAGACCCTTATAACCGATGGAGGAGGCTAAAAAACCAACCAAACCGTTTAGGATTGGTTCCCGTCCCAATTCTTGCCTTGGAAAAACTGATTCAAATTGAATTAGACCGGTTATACTAAGCATACATATTCATTTATATCCAAGTTTATTAGTAACCCCAAATAATATTTCAATACTTTAGCCCAATTAATACCCAACTAAATAACAACTCTAGCACTATGTTTTCCTCTCTCTTGCCCATTATCTCACTCTTTCTCTATTGTATATTTTTCTCGTTTTCCTATTTCACTTTTCTTTCCATTTAACTCTTCTTCTCATTTCTCTGTTCTTCACATCATCCTCTTTTTCTCTTCTTCCAAACCGCAAACCACTCGTACCAAAACGAAACTGTATAAGTTTGGTTTGGCTATGTTCCTCTAGAAACTTTTTATGAAAACTCAACCGAACTGGATCTTGTGTAAGTTTGGGGTTCGGTTCCAATTCAAGGGATAAACCGGACCGTGTCCACCCCGAGTCAAAACAAAACAAATTAATTATAAAAAAAAAGGGTAAAACTCTTAAAAAACAATTACACACAATTAAAATATTGAAAAACTCTCTACATTTATAGCAAGCCCCATTAAGCACATTGTATTTTGTGGGCTGGGATGTGGGCTTATAAGAACCCTAACCCTTCTGTTTGGATGAAGTAATTGAAAATTGCAAAGAATTTTTAAATGATGGAATTTAGATCTCCATCGTTTAAATTTCTTGCAATTAATAATTTTAATATTTGGATTTATGTATGTTGAATTTTGTAAATGATATAAATCACAATGCGAAAGAATTCATGAAATTGTGAAATAACGACTCCTTTTGGGGAAATTAAACTCAGGACTCTCAATCCTCAATTTCCATGGCTACCTAATTTCAATAGTAATTTAGGGAAAGTTGTTCCCTAATATTTGGGCTACTTGGCTTGCCGTCACTATGAAATTGAGAAGGGCTATATTACCAGAATTCGAAGGCACATGGACAGACTATCCATCTTTGAAAAAATATCAACTTCTTCACAACTTGCTTTCATTTCGAGGTTTCCAGTTGACAACTTATGTTGAAACTCTATTTATTTTGGTATGCTTTCTTCCTTAGATAAAATGATTTCAAATTGATGTCTAAATCAAACTGTGATGATTTAAGTACTAGTGCATTCCTAATTAAGTTTGTCCAATTTGGAGATATTTTAATTCCCTTGTCATCCTTTCCTACTTGTATTCTGGTCGATTGGGCTCTTTATCAATTTCTTTAATTTGTATTGTCCATTTGGACACATTTCTCTCTCCTTTAATAAAAGTTTTTTTTCGGTCCTTTTACAATTTCAGCATTTTGTTCGTTCAGTTCTTACATCATGCAAGGGGAATTTTAAAGTCCTTAATCAATCTAGGCATAAAAAAAGAATTAATCACGGCCAGTTCTCTACTTAGAGCGCAATGGGTTGAAAAAGAGATTTCATAACGCACAAGACTTCTATTACAATTTTATATGAATTACCTCTTTTTATTGGGCTTAACAATACTAATAGCAGCACGCTTGTGCAAACACATCATACAAAACATATACCAACCCATTAAAGGGCTTTGAATATTTAAAATCATTCATGTAATTTAGATTAGATTAAAGTATAATATGTATAAAAAATAATAAATAAATACAAAGCCACACTTTTTGGGGTGAACAAATACAATACTAAATCAACTCTAACCAGAGCTGTTGCCTGTTGGGCATTCTAATCGTATATATAATGCTCACACTACCTCAAAAGAGAGAGAGAGAGAGAGAGAGAGAGAGAGAGAAATCTAAGGCACAAAAGACAACAAAGAAAACAGCGTTAAAGGGACATATTATGAGAAATACTTCAATTTCCCTGAGGAACCGTCAGGAAACAGAAACATATCAAGATTATAGCACCAACTAATAACATATGTAGAATTTTTTTCAAAAGAAAATGAAATCTGTAAATTTTCAGAACATGTGAAACAATACAATACTTAATAAACTTGAATCTTATATTCCCCAGACATCTGTCCATTTATCCCCAAATTTTCTGCCAATATGTCAATTCTTTTTGGTCTAAACCATGAGGTGGTCCTGGATGGGCCCCAACTATGGGTGGCACCTTTAAGCCTTAACCACAACCCAGACTAATCACCACTCACACCGGGTCGGCCCGTAAGGGGTAAAGTGTTGGCCAAAGTGGTGACTCCGTACGAGAGCAGGGATCGAACCTCTGACCTCTCTTAAGGAATGAGAGTGCCGAACCACTCACACCAACCACCTTGGTTAATATGTCAATTCTTTTATTTTAATACAACCAATATTTAAATCATGCAAAAACAAAAACTTGGAGCTCAAACATCTTTGCACCTGAAAATAAGGCTCACCATCATACAAGATAAAACAAGCAATGAAGAATTGGGACCAAAGATTTCTTCAAGAGTATATTTCAGGAAAACGCAAACATTTGGATGGTAACCTTAATATATTGTTATCTTAAAATATAGGCTTTTTATCACAAATGGTCCATGAGGTTTGCAAAACTATCACCTTTCGTCCCTAACATTTTTTTGTGACACTAATGGTCCTTAACGTTACCCTCCACACATCAAAATGGTCCATGCCATTAGCTTCCGTCAAATTTTCTGTTACATTGCTAATATGACACAAGTGTGGAGCCCACACATCCAATGGTATAGAGCCACGTAGCTTTAAATAAAATAAAATAAATTTTAAATATTTTAAAACTTAAAATACATTTATAAAAAAAACAAAAAGAATTAAGTTTTTCAGAAAAAAAAAAAAAAAAACCCTGCGGGGGCCGGATTGATGCCCACCGTTGAGTCAACGGTGTCCAAATTGTCAATAGGGTTTGGTGGCAAACCCTTGGTTAATGGATAGCTGCTGGTTTTTTTTTTTCCCTAAAATTTTTAAAATATTTTAAAAGTTTTTTTTAAAAGGGATTTTAAGTTTTAATAATTATTTTATTTTATTTACAGCCATGTGCCTTTATACCATTCAGTGGCGAAGCCAGGATTTCATGTGTGTGGGGGCCTCTCACAAAATATAAACAATAAAAAATTTGAACTCACAAGACATACCAAAACATCAAAAATCATATTGTGTATTCATTACAATCATCATTGTTCTTGACGAGTTTTCATATTTTGAAATCGTTGCATAACAACCTCGTCATTTATACTATTAAAAATGTCTCTCTCAATATATGCAACGAAGCAATCATTCATCCATAGATTAAAAGACCTATTAAAATCAATAAAAAGCAAAAAAAAATTCAAAATTTCACGAACTAAAAAAAACCATAAATAAAGAGAAAAAGAAAAAATAAAAAAGAGAACTACTACAAAAAAAAAACTTTAATTGAATAAATTAACCTAATTAAAACTTGATAGTTTAATATGGAGTTTGAGAGAAAAACTCATAGGCAGAGAAAATCTGCTTTGCTGTTTGTGTATCGATTTTTGTAAAAAGGTAAATATATAATAATAAGAGCATAAACATTTGGGAACAGGAAAGGAAAGTGGCTTAAGCTTGGTGGAAAGGAAAGCAGGATTTGTTTGGCTGCTGGCCCACGTGATAAAATAAACATATTGATTAATGGGTGGTGCTAGAGGCACTAACTTTGGGCACCAACTCTCTAATAAAGATGGAGCCCGCCAATACAACGGGTCCCACGCTCTATTAGAGAGTTGGTGAGCAAGTTGGTGCCCAAAGTTGGTGCCTCTAGCATTTTCCTTGATTAATATAGATTATTCAATAATAGCAATACATATTACATTTTAAAAATAAATAAATAAAGTTGAGTGGGGGCCGGTGACTGAACTGGTCCCCATGTGCCTCCGCCCCTGATACCATTGGATGTGTGTATTCCACACATGTGCCACGTCAGCAATTTAATAGAAAATTTGACGGAAGTTAACAGCATGGATCATTTTGATGTGTGAAGGGTAACGTTAAGGATCATTAGTGTCACAAAAAAATGTTAGGGATGAAAGATGATAATTTTGCAAACCTCAGGGACCATTTGTGATAAAAAGCCTAAAATATATATTGTTCAAACATCTCAGTACCCGAAAATAAATCTCAAACATCAATACGCGAAAATAAATCTCAAACATCTCAGTACCCGGAAATAAGGCTCAAACATCTTAGTACCCGAAAATAAAGCTCAAACATCAAACAAGATAAACAAGCAATGAAGAATTGGAACCGAAGATGTCTTTAAACAAATTTTTAAATGATCTTATACATAATACTAGTGAAAACAAACCTAGATCTCAAACTAACCCAACAACGAGTAAAAGAGAGCAAGATATGTTTAAGGCATAAAAGATATAGTAAAAAGAAAAGAAGATGGAGTAAACACAGAAAATCATACCACAAAGACAATATCATGCTCAATTAGAAGACTTAAAATGAAGGGTAAAACAAGTCAAATTTATGGTGTGCCAAGCCAACCTTACTAGTTATTCTACTCTGATACACATAACAGTTAGAAACTATAGAGCAGGGATAGTATAATTAGCGACCAAATAGTAACAGAAACTGCGTATGCTCCCCATTAGAGACTCTACCCCACTGCAGCCATAGGCACATCAGAGAGTACCATGTTTTTTTTTTTTGTAAACGATGAGACTCTACCCCACTGCAGCCTTATGCTCCCCATTAGAGACTCTACCATGTTTATTATTTGGAGTGCCCTCATTAGCTCCGGCAATTGTTTAAAACGTGGCACTTCTAAGGTTTCTGTTTATTTGATTTTCAGTCATTGATAAAAGAAAATTTGAGTGGACTTAATTTGTGCTCATGTACATTGATAGAAAACGCTTGAAAAGGTAAAATATTACAATACCAAATGAACTCTAACCAGAGCTGTATACAATTTTATTTACCAGATATGGCAACTTAAATAAAAAAATTCACTACTGCTTGCTGGGCATTCTAATCTATATATAATGCTCAAACTACCTCAAGATCTCATAATGCAGATAGTATACTTTAAAACTTACTTCCAACCTTTCTTCTTCATCAACCCAAGTTCTCAGTGAAAATCATACTAGTATGAAACAAACCTAAATTTTATTTACCATAGATTTCCTGAATAAGGCTCAACACATCTGATAAGACGAAACCAAAGAACACAAATTGGTAGCATAGATTTCCTAAACAGTAGCAGCTCTGTAAATTGTTGCTTGAAATGTCATTGATCTTTAAAACATAACCATAGTGACAGCAACATAAATGAGACCCCAGAAAAAGAAACAAAAAAGGAGGGAGAAATCTATGCCACAAAAGAAAAAACAAAGAAAATACTGATTGGGTTATTTCATAAATATAGAGGAGAAATGAAGATGGTGTACCTGATTATCAGAGTCACTGAAGCAAATGCCACTGCAGGGTTTAAAAGAAGGGGGGCACACTCCATAGTTTTCCTTCATATTATGGCATTATTGACGTGAAGAGACAGTACAAGAGGTAAAAAAATTGGGGGAACCTGACCAGCCAACAACCTTTGCAACTGAACATCTTTGACAAGAAATCCTTATTAAATCAAAACCAACATAAAGATGCAGAAACATTCTTTTACAAGGAATAATTTGTTGCTCAAGATGCTAAATATTCTGGCTTGCATCATTATCATTCTTTATTAAACCAAAAAGAAGAAAGAAAAACTAGCACAATGATAAACTCAGAAAGCAATGTACTCGGAACAAAGAAAAAAAAAAATTATGAACAAGCACATACTTTGCTAATATTTCCAAGATATCTGGATGTCTAGGATTGCATCAAGAGAGACACCTATATCCACATTGGAAACCTCATCTATAACAAATTAGAAAGTAAAACTTAAGAGAGATTCCCTAATAATAGCAAGATTCTAAGTTATCTATAACAAATTAGAAAATCCTGTTGAGGTGGCTCTCAATGAAAGCATCAATTTGTGGGATATGATTCCACAAACACTTTGAGATGTCTCATTTAAAAGAATGCAACTGAGGCCTTTGCACACCAACCTTCTCAACGGTTCCTATTGATCTCAAAATGTGAATCTAAGCCAATAGGTCCTTTGTATCTTCACAGCATTATAAAAGTACTAATTTATCAACCCATGGTCTAAGCCAAGAAATTTAACTTATCGTCAGGCTAAGCTAAGTAGGAAGTATTTGAAACAAAAAAAACAAAAATGGATTATAGCATCCAAGACATCATCACTATAGAAGCTATTACAAAAAGATCACGGCACAAACCTTTTTATAGCACTTTTAGAAATGATTGTGATACATTATGTTATTGAAATTAGTAGTTTCTTAAGAACAATGTTAGCTAAGCCTAAAGAAAAGATAACAAATCATTTACGGTATGGAAGGTCACAAGAAAACTTATTAGAACAATCAATAATGGAATTTTGACACTCCATTTTCCTTTTCAATTTAACAAAAACAAAAAGCATCTGTAGTATAAAATCTTTGGCAATTTTACCTGAAATAGCCATGATATAACCCTTATTGAAGAGATGATGAAGGCAACATAATATAAAATTAGAAATTTGCTATCGTACTAAAGAGTACAAATTATGTATAAACTAAACAGTTGATATGTTATTTGTTTACACAGGTTATAGCATAATTTGAAAGAGGTAGCCAGATAAACTCAGCAATAAACAAAGTAATGAAACTTTGATAAAAGAATAGAACATGTAGTAGAAAGGCTAACAAAACTTGTCATAATCAACTGATAATTATATCTCCTTGAAATTAAATCCAAAGTGACAAATATAACTTTTTTCATCATCAAGGACAACTATTACCAAATCCACCATCTAAATACCTTACAAACACTTACTTAACAAAGCCTACCAATAACCAAAGAGAATTCAACCTATGCCAGAACATTTATACATCAAAAATCCTTCTTAAACATCAATTTGATAAGAACAAACAACTTCTTATAGGGGTGGTTGCGGTTCGGTAACCGCAAATTAGACAGTTTTAGGTCTTTCAAGTGTGGTATTTTTGTGTCATAAAAATCCAATGTTCCACACTTTTAAGCCTAGTTTTGATGCATCTTTTGAAGCCTTTTGAGTTCAAGCATACTTAACCCAAAAATATAAATTCACAATTTAAAGAAATAAATTCGCAACCTCAACTTCTCAAGCATATATAAATTCACAACCTCAACCTCAACTTCTCAAGCATTCCAACCTAAAGAAAAATCCAATTCAAAGTTAATTAAAGTTATAAACCAAAAGGAAAATGCAATGCAAAATGAATTAAAGTTACAACCCAAAGGAAAAATCCAATTCAAAGTTAATTAAAGTTACAAACCAAAAGGAAAATGCAATGCAAAATGAATTAAAGTTACAAATCATCATGTTTTCTTTGGTCTTCTACTTCCTCTGCTTCTACTTGTTGTCCATCATCCTCTTTTTCTTTTGTCTGCATATTGAATGGAAACTAATTAGAAACTGCATTGCATAATTCACTGTTTGGAGATTCTAATTACCTTGTCAAGAGGGTCTCCCTCTTCAATGGTAGTTTTTCTCTTTTTTATATGTTTTCAAAATACCTTGTACAATGAGAATGATTTAGAAACTGCATCGTTGGATAAAATGCAAACTGCATTGCAGGAAACTAACACTGCAGTGCAGTTTTCGTTTCTGCAATGTAGAAAACATAAACTGCAATGCACTGTATACAAATTTTAATTACCTTCTCAACAGGGTCTCCCTCTCCCCTGGTAGTTTTTCTCTTTTTAGGGGTTTTGAAAATACCCTGTGCAATGAGAATGATTTAGCATGGATTCACATTCAAGATACATTAAAATAAAACATGCAATAAATTGCATACCTCGATGTCATTCAAGTCCTTTATTTGGTTGAATCTCGTGTGGAGTTCCACAAGACTCCATTTAAGAATGGCAGAAGTTTCTTTCTCTTTGGCAAGGATTGGTTGTATGATGCATGTCCTCTCACACAGTAGAAACTGCACAGTTCAAAAACAAGATATATCAGAAAGAAGGTTGGAAACTGCATAGGATAAAACAGAAACTGTATTTCAGACTGCATTGCATAAAACTCTAAATGCATTGCATAAGCCACTGTTTACTTACCAATATTAGGATAGTGCAACCCGAAACAGCTCTTATAGAGGCTTCTCCTCCCTTCTTTGCTGCTTTTATTTTTGTGATCAAGGATTCATTTATGTAGCCTGAAACAGCTCTTGCCCACGAATAGCTTGAAAGTGTGTCTAGATTCACACAATGCTAAAATATTTTCTATTGCAAAGTGGATGAAGAGTTGGCAAAAAGGAATGTCATGCAGAGCAGAATCAAGATTAGGCCGACCACCTCCTTATCGTAGTCAACAACCTCCTTTTCCTCTTTGTCTTCTTCTTCTTCTTCTTCAGCTTCCTTTTTTGCTTTTCCTCTCTTCGTTTTCTTGTTTTGCTCTGCCTTGGCCTTTTCTTTCTTCGGTTGGTTTGCCAAGGCAATTGTCTTTTGTAATTCTGCTTCTACCATGGCTTTTGATGGTTTTCCATTTTCTCCAAAGTGCCTTGTTCTAAAGGTAGCAGTGTATCTATCATTGCCAAGTTTGACAGATTTTCCTTCGTTTGGCAGTCCTAGAATCTGAGTCACTGCATTTCCTGTGATCTGGAATGATTTGATGCTGAATTTGAAGGACTTTGTATCCAGATCAAACTTCTTGAGTAGCTGTACTAAGTCGAGGTCCGACTTATTCATGTTATTCATGTCAATCCTTTGGTGGTAAAACAGCTCAATCAAGTTACAAAAGGGGGTTTTCTTGAACAGCTTCTTTTGCCTTTCATTGAGCTTCTCTTTAACATCAGTAATGATGCTGTTGAAAGCATTAACGTTGCACCAAAACTGGACATATTTTGGGTGCTTTGCTTTCCAGTCATAGTTTGGCTTTGGTTTTTTCTTTTGAGCCATTGTTTTGATTCTTGGCTTTCGTTGGTTTTTAGCTTCATTATTTTGTGGTGACATTTCTTGTGCCATTTGTGATCTGAAACAAGAAGGGATGAAAACACTGTTAGGACAAGTAGAGATAAACTACAAGGAAGAAGTGTAAATAGTTGAGCAGAAAATTGAAAATAGAAACTGCAATGCAATTTCCGTTAATGCAATGCAGTTTGTCATTGCATTAACGCAAACTGCATTGCAGTTGGATTTCGCAATGCAGAAAACAGAAACAAATTGACATGAAATGGAAAGATCAGCATAGTCAAAACAAGAACTTCAAACCAAACAGGAGATATGCAGTGCAGTTTCGCTACTGTTCTTCAGTGCATAAAACAGATAGATCTGATGCTCTTTTTCTTTCTTTTGTGATTTTTTGGTTTTTAGAGGTTTTCAAACCTCTTCTCAGCAAAGTCAAAACAAGAACTTCAAACCAAACAGGATATGCAATGCAGTTTGTCATTGCATTAACGCAAACTGCATTGCAACTGGATTTCGCAATGTAGAAAACAGAAACAACTTGACATGAAATGGAAAGATCAGCAAAGTCAAAACAAGAACTTCAAACCAAACAGGACATGCAGTGTAGTTTCCGTTAATGCAATGCAGTTTGTCATTGCATTAACACAAACTGCATTGCAGTTGGATTTAGCAATGCGGAAAACAAAAACAACATGACATGAAATGGAAAGATTAGCATAGTCAAAACAAGAACTTCAAACCAAACAGGAGATATGCAGTGCAGTTTCGCTACTGCTCTTCAGTGCAGAAAACAGATAGATTTTATGCTCTTTTTCTTTCTTTTGTGATTTTTTGGTTTTTAGAGGTTTTGAATCCAAGAGTAGTTTTGAACAGTAAGTAAAATATCAGAAATCCTTAATCCCTATAAACGAAGCAAAACCTAAACCAAGAGTAGTTTTGAATCCAACGAGTCATCCATTTTTCCAAAGGAAGCATGCATAAAGAACAGTAGCGATAATGTGTAAAATTCAAGATCTCTAAAATCGAAGGAAAATTTGTGTTAGAGGGTCATTTTCTGACGGTTTTTTCCCAAGAGAGTGAGTCGTTGTTGCTGGTCGCTGTTTGAGATTTTGGGGAATAGGTTGGAACTGCTAAAGCGGTTTCTCGAAGTGGAGATGAAAGGTCGCGCGAAAGGGTTTTACCAAGATTCAATTTGAGTTGAAGTCGTTTTTGGTGTTTTGCTGTCGTTTTGACAACTGTAGGTTTTGGGTGAAACTAAATAATGAAATTTAACAATAATGGCATATGTTGTAATTTTGATGTGTTTTAATTACATTATTGTAAAATTAGGTACTACTTTTTGGTCTTTGGCCTTATGCTAATTAGGTGAAATTGTATTCATATCTTACAAATTAGTAAAAACTATATAGTGTCTTAAAATGAAAGAACCCCATTATTTATAGGGGTAGAGAGGCCTAAATCATTTACCACCCATAATTGGTAGGTTACAAATATATAATGATTGGTATTATGATAGGTTAACAGTGGCTATTATTGTGGGCATCCATAACCTATAAACTCATAACGTATGTATTTATAACATGGTTATAATTGAATTTACATATTGTGAAAAAATAAATAAAAAATTGGGCTTTCGAAAAAAAAAAAATGATTTTGGGCTTTTGAAGAAAATCAACAATATTGTGCTTTTGAAAAGAAAAAAAAAAGATTTTGGACCTTATATGCTACTAAAGCCCAACACAAACAAATGGGGAAAAACCAGTGAACTAGCACAAACAGGAAAATCGAAAATAGCCAGTTCGGCTTGGTCCGATTTTCCTCATGTTTTTCCTAAAAATTGGACCGAATCAGACCGGATTGGATGAATAGTACCCATTTCGATTCCGATATGAGCTCCAAACTGAATCAGACCGGACCGTACTCACCCCTATTGAAAACTAAAATACATAAAAGACACATGGCGTTGCTGGAGGCTAACACCCATAAAAAATACTGACAACGGACCATTTAGCTGTTGCCACATATCATTTCTTTCCTTTTTGTTATTATTTTTCAAATGTTTTCATTTTTATATAATATGTAGGTTGTAACATATGAAATAAAAATACAACAGAAAATAAATGAAATCCTAGAGAGACGAAGGAAGAAAAATGTCCGCTTACAAAGCAAAAGAAGATTCAACAATGGCTGCTCACAACCCCAGAAAAAAAAAAAAAAAAAAAAAAAAAAAAAAAAAAAAAAAAAAAAAAAAAAAAAAAAAAAAGATCTTTGACAGATCAAAGATGATATTAAAAAAATGGTTTAAATGTCAAAATGGTCTCTATGTTCTACAGTGTTTGCCAATTTAGTGTTTTTAATTTGGCCAATTTAGTCCTTATGTTTAGAATCTTTAGCCAATGTAATCCATTCCATTAAATTTACTGTTAAATAAGCATTTTAAACTTTTTTTTTCTTAAAAAAACCTACAAGCCTTTCTAAAATTAATATATAAAAAATTAAATTAACTTAAAAATATTGAAACTTCATTAAAATATAACATTAATGAAAGAAGCAGTGAGGAAGAGGAGCGATTGCATTGTGAGGGGAAGGAAGATGCTGAATTTATAACAGCAAAACACACATGAAGATAATGGTCAAATGGATGAGTGGTGCTTCACTAATCCATAGTTGTTTTTGAAATTCTGTTCATTTAGTTTTGCACTCTGTTCAAAAGAATTTAGTTGTGGTACTACTGATTACAGGTTGCTTATATAATTTAGTAGGAAAAATTGGATAATTGAAATAATATTGGTGGCAGATGTTGTTTCGTATTTATATATAAAAAAAACATTAGAAAAACAAAACAAAAATGGCTAGTTGGGAGGGGAGGGTTGCTCAGCAAGGGAAGTAGATACATCGAATAAAAACTAATATGGTGTGAACATTTGGTCCTCATGGAGATGAACTATGTTTTTAAGTTATTTAAATTTTGAGGGCATTTTCATCTATTTATGTGGATTTTTGACTATATTTGAAAGTTTTTATAAAAATTGACATTTATGAATTTAGGAATTAAATTTTGGCTATTATTGATAAAAACTCGTTGGGAGGGGAGGGTTGCTCAGCGAGTGGGCAAATGGGAATTGGATGACAACTGCAAGAAGGGGGAGGGTGATGACGGCTGAATAGGGAGAGATGGTGGGTTGGGGGGTGGGGTGTGGGGTGTGGAGAGAGTGTTTGTACCAAAATTTGCACTTTTTGGCCAAACTCTCCATTCTAGCCAAAATACATTTGGACTTATTTTTTATTCATCAGCCCAACTGGCCATTCGGGCTCCACTTGCCAAAAATTGGAAAAGAAGCCCATATCATTCCAAGAGATAAAATAAGCCAAAATAGCTTTCCCAAGTTCCCAGATTACATATTTTGAAACCATTTTATATCATATGATGTGGCAGTTGATGTGCACATACAACATCATGTAAAATACTAGTTTTTATTTTTCTAATTTTATTTATTAAAATACACTTTATTCATTTAATTGATATGGCATATGATATGGACATGCCACATCATGTGGTATATCTATTTATTTATTTTTAAATTGAATTTGAATAGCTTTTAAATTTTTAATTAATATTTAATAGCTTTTAAATTTTTATATGGGAAATTTAACGGAATTGACCACATTGACTAACGTGTCTAAACACACGAACTAAATTTGCCAGATTGAAAACACATGGACCAAATTGGCCAATACAGTAAAACAGATGGACCATTTTAACATTTAACCCTAAAAAAGAGGCAGATCTGATTTAATGATACAATAAACGAAAGCTGCAATCTGCAAATATGTGGCAAACAAGTTTCATAAGTTCATGATTAACAATTTCAAAAAATAACCATATGCAAATACCATTCTCGCATGATTTGAAGTATAAATACAAATTAAAAAATATTGAAAAATTCATGCCTAGAAATTGCCGACCATGGAAGCAAAGGTCTTTTGTATCAGGGCAGGTGCATTGATTTTGGAGGCCCTGTCTAGAGAGTGATGTTGAGGCCCTGATTTTCTCATAGAACAAAAATGTTGTTGACAAATTTATGATCAAAGCAACATTATTTTCTCATTGAAGGTGGATTTTTAAGGGAAAAGCTTAAGGGTTAAATCTAAAAATCAGAATTTAAAGTACAAAACTCATCGACATTAGGTAAAAAAGTTAAAAATTAAGGATTCACTTGATTTTTCTAGGTCTTGCAATCATGCCTTAGATAAGAGAGAGAGAGAGAGAGAGAGAGAGAGAGAGAGAGAGAGAGAGAGAGGAAAACACGTTAAAAACAAAGAGCTAACCCAACAAATAAAATCAGAAGTAAAAACAAATAGGGAAAAAAATATTTAAGTATAAGATTGGGTTAGAAAATTGAAAACAAGGAGGCTTATTTTCTTTTGTCCAAAAGCCACTTTCAAAATAAGGGGCCTTCTCCAATGCGAACTCTAAGATACGAACTCGTTGCGAACTTTTGTTTTTAACCGTTGGATGGCTTGTGTGGCTTTATTTTCTTTATTTTCGCTCTTCTTCCAACGGTTAAAAACAAAAGTTCGCAACGAGTTCACATCTTAGAGTTCGCATTGGAGAAGCCCCCTTCAAAATAAACTCTGGATTTTTTTGTTGAAGTGGGCTGAAAAAAAATAAAAACATTTGGAGGCCCCAAATAGTTGGAGGCCTTGTGCCATCGCCCAGCCTGCACAAGCTATGGGTCGGGCCTGGTCTGTACTAGAGCCAGCTGATGGGTTCAACTTCCTTGTCCATTCGTCAGCCGCTGCAGAAATAAGACACCAGACGTCCAAACAACAAAAAGAAAAAATAAACGACACCAGACTCTGAGCCATCACACCAAAATCGCGGCCACCCTCAGCCGCCAGCTCAATCTTGTATTGCTCTCTGTCTCTGTCTGTCTCTCAGGTACTGTTCGTCTCTCTCTCTCTCTCTCAGCTCATCTTCGATTCTGTGACTAGTGTTTTGCATCTGTTTGGGTATTTAGGTTTTGATTGTGTGTGCATCTGTTTACCCACTCCTTCCTTGCGAAAAATCAATGCTGGAGGAGCTACCGATTGTTGTTTGCAGATTTATTTTTTATTTTTGTTTTTTTATTTTCTGTTTTTGTTGGTGGAGTCAAACAGTTTTTTGATTTTCTGTTTATTTTGATTTTTATTCATTGAATATGTCATGTCTTGTTCTGGAAAAACTATCACGTACTAGGAATATGATTAAGCGTTTTAATTTTTTCTTCTACTTTCTTTATTTGTTTAGAAGTAAATTTGCATTCAATTAGGGTTTAATGGATTCCCCAACGCTTGTTTGAATAATTCGCAGCAAATCGCAATGGCTCGTAACGAAGAGAAAGCGCAGTCGATGCTCAATCGATTCATCACACTCAAAGCCGAAGAGAAGAAGAAGCCAAAAGAGCGACGTCCATACCTGGCCTCCGAATGCCGGGACCTTGCTGAGGCCTCCAAATGGCGGCAGCAAATCATGGGAGAGATTGGCCGAAAAGTCGCCGAGATCCAAAACGAAGGGCTCGGCGAGCACCGTCTCCGCGACCTCAACGATGAGATCAACAAGCTCATACGGGAGAAGGTTCACTGGGAACGACGAATTGTTGAGCTTGGAGGCCCTAACTACGCGAAACACGCCCCTAAGATGACAGACCTCGATGGCAACATCATCGACGTCCCAAACCCTAGCGGCCGAGGCCCTGGGTATCGGTATTTCGGCGCCGCGAAGAAGTTGCCGGGAGTCAGAGAGCTTTTTGAGAAGCCACCGGAGCTGAGAAAGCGGAGGACGAGGTACGATATATACAAAAGGATTGATGCGAGCTATTATGGGTATAGGGACGATGAGGATGGGGTTCTAGAGAAGGTTGAGGCTCCGGCGGAGGAGAAAATGAGAGCGGAGGCCGTGGCGGAGTGGAAACGGATGGAGGAGATAAGGAAAGAGGCAAGGAGGGCGGTGAAGAGTGGGGAGGTGGTGTCGGTGGCGAAGGCGAAGGAGGTTTTGTTTGAAGAGGAAGAAGAGGTGGTTGAGGAGGAGAGGCAGAGAGAAAGGGAATTACAAGAGAGGAGTGAGAGGGAGAAAGAGTTTGTGGTGCACGTGCCGTTGCCGGACGATAAGGAGATTGAGAAGATGGTGCTGGAGAAGAAGAAGAAGGAGCTGCTGAGCAAGTATACTAGTGATGGATTGTTGGAGGAGCAGACCGAGGCTAAGCAGATGCTTAACATTCAGCGCTAGAATGCAGACACCAAGAAAGAGAAAGAGTATGTTACTGTGTTTAATTTGACTCATTGACTGATAAGAAGTTGTTTGTTCTTATCAAATTGATGTTTAAGATGGATTTTTGATGTATTAATGTTCTGGCATAGGTTGAATTCTCTTTGGTTATTGGTAGGCTTTGTTAAGTAAGTGTTTGTAAGGTATTTAGATGGTGGATTGAGTAATAGTTGTCCTTGATGATGAAACAAGTTATATTTGTCACTTTGGATTTAATTTCAAGGAGCTATAATTATCAGTTGATTATGACAAGTTTTGTTAGCCTTTCTACTACATGTTCTATTCTTTTATCAAAGTTTCATTACTTTGTTTATTGCTGAGTTTATCTGGCTACCTCTTTCAAATTATGCTATAAGCTGTGTAAACATAGAACATATCAACTATTTAGTTTATACATGATTTGTACTCTTTAGTACGAGAGCAAATTTCTAATTTTTCTAAAGAAAGAAAAGTAGGTTTCAATATGAAGAACAATTTAGGAATACAAGCATGAAGATTTGGATGTGAGTTCTAAGAAACAACCAAATTATACTCATGCATGGTCTCTCTGCTATAATGATATTATTTACAGTATTTGTGTGAGCTGAGAAATATTGCATGTGAGTATATCACACAACAACAATGGTTTGGAAAGGAAAGTTGATGCTGATTTTTTCTGGAACTTCAACAATATCATATGCTTAGAGCAAGCATGAAGGTTTGTTCATTGTTTGATTTATCGTTAAAACATTGTCTTGAGTTTATTGCCTACCATTTTCTTACCAAAGAAAACTGTAAATTGCTTTGTGTAAAAAAGAAGTTGCTGGGTTGCCGTTGATTGTTGGGCACTTATTTATTTTATCAACTACTGGTTGTGGAACTACATTTTATTAACCATCTCCATTCTATAGTCATAGTTGCTTTGAGATCAATATGCATCATTCACTAAAACTCAGAATCTTTAAATTTTCTGGTTATATTGCTCTCTGGGCCTGCCATGCATTAGTACAACAAAGGTGCCTATCTCCTTAGTTTTGGCCCCTTGGGGTTCTTCAATTCAATGTACAGGTAGCTGATTAAAAGGTTGGGTGTTTTCTTCTTACTATTTGAAATAAAAGAATCGTCTGCCGACAAAGATTGAATGAGCTTATGACATAATTTCTGATTGATAATGCACGTATTATTATGAGCCACACAGTATGACACTAGCAGTCCTTGACTTTTCGTTGGTGGAAATTTTTAAAGATCAATGACATTTCATGCAACAATTTATAGAGCTGCTACTGTTTAGGAAATCTATGCTACCAATTTGTGTTCTTTGGTTTCGTCTTATCTGATGTTTTGAGCCTTATTTAGGAAATCAATGGTAAATAAAATTTAGGTTTGTTTCATACTAGTATGATTTTCACTGAGAACTTGGGTTGATGAAGAAGAAAGGTTGGAAGTAAGTTTTAAAGTATACTATCTGCATTATGAGATCTTGAGGTAGTTTGAGCATTATATATAAGATTAGAATGCCCAGCAAGCAGTAGTGATTTTTTTTTTATTTAAGTTGCCGTATCTGGTAAATAAAATTGTATACAACTCTGGTTAGAGTTCATTTGGTATTGTAATATTTCACCTTTTCAAACGTTTTCTATCAATGTACATGAGCACAAATTAAGTCCGCTCAAATTTTCTTTTATCAATTACTAAAAATCAAATAAACAGAAACCTTAGAAGTGCCACGTTTTAAACAATTGCCAGAGCTGATGAGGGCACTCCAAATAATAAAAATAGGAAACCATTTTTATTTGGACATGTTAAACAGGATCCTTGGTTCTCATCATTTACAAAAAAAACATGGTACTTTCTGATGTGCCTAAGCCTGCAGTGGGGCAGAGTTTCTAATGGGGAGCATACGTAGTTTCTGTTACTGTTTGGTCTCTAATTATACTATCCCTGCTCTATAGTTTCTAACTGTAATGTGTATCAGAGTAAAATAACTAGTAAGCTTGGCTTGGCACACCATAGATTTGACTTGTTTTACCCTTCTGCAGTTTAAAAACGTGTACATTAAGCTTATTTTTGAAAATGTATGGACTTTTGGGTTGTGTGTAGATTGTTCTGGTATTAGCGTTGTGTTAATCAATTATGTTCAGTATATGTCCTGGGCCCTTTTTCAGGTGACAGAAGCAAGTGAGGCATTTTAAGAGCTTCTTTTTCTTTAGCTTTTAATAGAATTTTCTTTTCTTAACTACTGCTGTCAACTCTTTGGGTTCTGATTTTCTGATTGTCATTGTAAGTCTTCTAATTGAGCATGATATTGTCTTTGTGGTATGATTTTCTGTGTTTACCCTATCTTCTTTTCTTTTTACTATATCTTTTGTGCCTTAAACATATCTTGCTCTCTTTTCCTCGTTGTTGGGTTAGTTTGCGATCTAGGTTTGTTTTCACTAGTATTATGTATAAGATCATTTCAAAATTTGTTTAAAGACATCTTTGGTTCCAGTTCTTCATTGCTTGTTTATCTTGTTTGATGTTTGAGCTTTATTTTCGGGTAATAAGATGTTTGAGCCTTATTTTCGGGTACTGAGATGTTTGAGCTTTATTTTCGCGTATTGAGATGTTTGAGATTTATTTTCAGGTACTGAGATGTTTGAACAATATATGCTGTTTTGAGTCTCTACATATGGCAGGAAGACTTTGACCGGATGGAAGGAAGACTTTGACTGGCAAATGGGAGGGAGGGTAGGGGGTCATTCACGGCCTTGACTGACTGGAGCTCAGATCTGCTGCGTTGAGTCTCTACATATGGCAGAATATAAACGCTGTTAATGGGTCCTGATTGTATTTTTCATTTCGATTTTATTAAAAGAATTCTTTTTTTAGCAATCACCCTAAATTATAGACATTGTTTTACTTTACTTTTTGAACTTTCAATTTGGTTTTTAGCCCCATAATCTTTCACAAATACCCCATTTTGTCAAATTTGTTAACTGCTTCGTAAAATTCATAGGCATTTTTGTCACTTCAAGTAAGGATTTAATTTAACCAACTTAAACCCTAATTGAGTCAACTCATTTTTCCCTTTAGACCCCATTTTCACTTCTTCATTTTTTAGTCCATTCAAAATATGATTGAAGCGAACAAGTGATCGAGTTAATTAGGGTTTAAGTTTGTCAAATCAAATCTTAACTTGATCATTGATATAAATTACGCTGAATTTCACTAAGGAATTAAAAAACTTGACGAAATGGGGCATATGACACGTTTTGAGACTGAGGGTCTCAAAACCAAAGAAAGTTCAAAGGGCAAAGTGGAACAAGGTCTATAGGTGAGGCAACATTGTTAACATCTCCTATAAAAATATTTGGATGGGTTAACGGCGTTAGGATTGATTAAATAGAAAGACAGATGTCACAAACATAAGTAGGGAACAGGGATGGGATTGGAAAATTAGGAGACTGGATGGGTTAGCGGCGTTAGGATTGATTAAATAGAAAGACAGATGTCACAAACATAAGTAGGGAACAGGGATGGGATTGGAAAATTAGGAGACAGAGGATCATAATTGAACTGTTGAACAGTGGACCTGACATTCTTCTATTCCTCTCCTCCGTTTCTTGGACATTTATATCCTTTTGGGTACAAACAATTTCGCTCTCTATTTTTCTCCTTTCAGTAAAATTTTTGACTTGTAGAAAATTGAAGTAATAGAGTTGATGTTTTTTTTGGTCGAATCTTCTGGAGTTGACTTATTCAAAACAACTGGTATCATTTTATCAAGGTGCGTGTCGTATCGTATAGGTAGGTTTTGGGTAAATAAATAGTCTATAAATATATAGAAAGCATGCAATTTGTAAAGAAGATCAAACTTTCGGTGCTCTCTAGCTTTCAATAAAACACTATTTGCTTTTACGTTCCAAGTTCCAGGCAATACGTAACATATTTTAAGCTTTCTTTCACTTTTTTTTATTTAAATTTCTATTTCCTCGAGCAGACTTCTAGTTCAAAACAAGGAAACAAAATTATAGTTGTATTATTATTTACTGAATTAATCACTTTGTTCTGGTTAAGCACTTCCCATTGAAATAATTCGATATCAACCATTGAACCTTTCAGTTCTTTACATATGACCTTGTTTGTTGGTCTTTACGCAAAATTATGTTCAAGTTTGATGTTCAAAGCTTGATATCTAGTCTCTATAGTGACCATTTGACTATATGATAGAGCCCCGACTCAAATTTGGTATCAGAACCAAGCTTAGCCAATTAATAGTATAATTATAATAATAAAGTACCTTGAGGATAAACTCATCAATACATCTTATTGAAACCAACTATATCAAATTTTGCTTTAGGCAACACCACATAGGCATAAGCAAAATAAAAATAATAGAACCTAAATGATAAAAAGACATCATCAGCAATACTTGGCGATGCATGATTTAGCATCGCAGTCTTAACAACAAAAACTAATTTGTTTTGTGTTGTTTTGTTTTTTCTCTTTTTAGAGATTTTAAGCAGTGATGCCTTTCCTTGCATTTTACCTAGGTCAACGTCACACTATTTTCACTTCCCCACAAATATTTCAATGTCCCCCTCAAATCGCGAAGTCTCTCACTCTCTCTCTCTCTCTCTCTCTCTCTCTGAGTGAGATTTGATGAGTTGCAGCGAGAAACAAATATTAAAGAATACACAGAGTTCCCCATCGAAAACTTCATAAAATAGAAAGTCTCATATAATAAATGGTTCCACTCCTAATAACATCAAAGCCTTTTGTATAAAACCTCACGTCTGCTAAATAGGTGGTTAAGTTGGGGGTTAATATTGATGTTGCTAGTAGTGGGCCAAGGGTACGTTCCTCTGAAATCTTAACATGGTATCAGAGTGGGCATGTTGATTTTGCACGGTTAAACCCACATCAAACAAAAAACCCAAATTGAACCAAAATCAACCAAACCCTAAATTAAAAATAAAAAAGGTGACAAATGTGGAATTGGTTGCATGTGTGGCCCACTAAAAAGTGGTTCTACGTGAGGAGTGTTGAAGAATACACAGAGTTCCACAACGGGAACTTAACAAAATAGAAAGTCTCATATAATAAATGGTTCCACTCTTAATAACATTGAGACCTTTTGTATAAAACCCCACACATGCTAAACATGTGGTTAAGTTGTTGCTAATAGTGGGCCAAGGGTCTGTCCGTCTGAAATCT